GACCGTTCGAATATTTACGGCTCACGTCACTTGGTGTCATTGGCGCCCTAGTCAAGAATGAACCCTCATCCGGCGTCTCAATGAATCCGGCAGGCACACCAGGGGCCCACGGGAACACCAACAACTCTTCCCCTACAATCACGTTTCTGTTGACAACAGAGATAATCCCCCTCTGCCTGCGCATCATGGAGACGGGCAGCGAACTATCCAAAACTGTGGCCATCTTCATCGTCCAGAAGATTTTGCTTGATGACACAGGGTTAGGATATATCTGTGCCACCTATGAGAGGTTCTATGCGGTCGGCACCGTTCTGAGCAATATGGTTATTGGGTTGGTCGAAACCCAGACTGTACGGCTCTTGAAACACGTGGTTAGATGCTTCCTGAGGTGAGATTTCAGTCGCACGGTGTGGTATTCAGCGCTTGTTTCTGACCCAAACCCCCAGGCTGAGTGACAACAACCGAGCCCGCCAAGCGCTGCGACAGTGCCTGCCTGAGCCGCTTCGTGATGCGACGTTTTCCAATGTCCTCCGCGACGATGCCGCCACCAAGCGATGCCTGGCCCAACTCCTCATCAACCTGAGCGACACTGTTACCGATACGCAGAATGAGCAATTTGAATGATATTAGGACTTCGGCGTAACCGCGGGCTCTACCTCGGATTTGCTGTGCGAAGATAACCGGTGGTCAAACGATACCCCTTATCAGAATGACGAGTTTCTCGATCTTTTTTTTTCCAGGATTGCGACCGCAACGTCGGCGACAGACTGGTAACAAGCATGACGCAGGAAAGTTTTGGAGTCGTTCCTTTTTGTTGTTGGCAACACAAGCATCAACATCACCAAGCATAGAAATTATACCCAATGGCCTCGGCGAGGAAGACATGACAGGCGCACTGTTTTCCATTAATTGAACGAAGACATGATCAATGCACAAAGGCGTGGCTTGATGCCCGAAGACTGTAACAAGAGCCAGGAACTCCTCGGTTGAGGTCACTGGGCCTGATGGCTGCCATGGATGGGATTGCAACGAGGGAAAAGTGGTTTGTGCCAGCGCGTTTCTTGCCTTGTTTTGGGAGGTCACCATCTCTTCGACTTTTCTTTGGTACCGGGATATAACCAAGCTCTACACAACATCGTGACCTGTACATGAATTGGAGTGGCATGGACGAGGACGTGGCTGTCGAGGGAAAGGGGTCTCTTTGGATTACACAAAACTCACAGGCTTCTTTCATCTCTGAGCCAGGATTTGACCGTGGGATGAGATGAACCACATGAATTCCTTTCTTCTTTTTTGCCCCGAGCACAGTCTGCGACACCTTTCTGTTCCTGCAAATAGTTACCTTTACAGAACCCAGATGTATTCCATAGGATAGTACAATGACATTGATCTCTTTCTGACATGAGCATATATGGAGAGACGGACTTTGCTGAAGCTGCTGCTCCTCTCCGCCTGATTGTCTTGAGCCTTTCTACCGCGTCTTTCTCACTGCTCCACCTAATCCGATGTACTAACGTCATTACTACTACCACCATCATGGCGCGCTTCTCCAGGCAACCGTCAAGACGGGAATCTCTTATCTCTCTTCTAGATCGCAATACAAACGGACAATCTCCCCAAACAATCGACGTCATTTACGGTATTTGATCTACCACTGGTCGGCGAAAGCCTTTTTAGACCAAATCCGTAGCGAGTACCTCCCCCTCTACATTGCCGCGACTTGCCTTCTTCAAAGGCTGCAATTTCCAGAGATCTCTCCAACATCATACACCTCGTCGACTCGCAGTTCCAAACGATGTCCGCTCCCATCAGGATCCTCGGGAAGCCCGTCGGGCCAATAGGCTATGGTATGATGGGGTTGACTTGGCGACACAATGCACAACCGGCGAGCGACAGCTTCAAGGCAATGGAGACGGCGCTGTCGCAGGGCGCGAATTTCTGGAACGGCGGTGAACTGTACGGGACACCAGAGCGGCACTCCTGCCACTTACTTCACGAGTACTTCAAACTACACCCGGAAGACGCGGGCAAGGTCGTGCTCAGCATCAAAGGCGGCCTTGTCCCGGGCGGGCTGAAGCCCGACGGATCGGCCCAAAACGTGCGGCGCAGCGTGGAAGACTGCCTCAGGGTCCTCGATGGCACAAAGAGCATTGACATCTTCGAGTGCGCTCGGCTCGACGCGCACACGCCACTTGAAGAGACCATCGGCACCCTGGCGCAGCTCGTCAAGGAGGGGAAAATAGGTGGCATTGGTCTTTCCGAGGTCAAGGCGGGCACCATCGAGCGGGCACACGCCATCCACCCGATCGCGGCCGTCGAGGTCGAAGTGTCGCTCTGGACGACGGACATTCTGCGCAACGGCGTCGCCGCCACCTGCGCGAAACTCAACATCCCCATCGTCGCGTACAGCCCCCTCAGCCGCGGCGCGTTGGCGGGCGAGACCATCCGCAAGAACGCCGACATCCCCGAGGGCGACATCCGCAAGTTCATGCCGCGATTCCAGGACGACGTGCTCGAGTACAACAACCAGATCGTGGACGAGGTGCAGAAGCTCGCCGACAAAAAGGGCGTGACCAAGGCCCAGATCGCCATCGCCTGGGTCCGCTGCCTGAGCGGCCGCACCGTCACCACGGAGAACGGCGAGCAGATGACACTGGGCACCATCATCCCCATCCCCGGCGCCACCAAGCCGGAGCGCGTCGTCGAGAACACCACGGTCGTGGATCTCTCCGACGACGAGATGAAGGAGATTGCGGAGATTTTGAAGAAGAATCCCGTCAAGGGCGACCGATACCCGGCGCAAGGGATGGCTCACCTCAATATGTAAAGGGGCGCTGAGAAGAAAGTTCTTCGGAAACGAGAATGGATATTTTGTCGTTCCCATCTCCAAAGGTAGGATGATGCCCTAAGACGGGCTATCAGAGGTGGCCAGTGAGCGTATATATATCAGGACGTTGGTGAATTTGAGCTCTCTACTCAACACATGCCCTGGTTGCGCATTCTGTCAGGTATGTATCTATGTATGTATTTGGCCAGTGTACAGGCTACCACAAATCAAGAACATTCCAGAGCAAAGCATCGAGAAGAGAGACACAAAGCAAATCAACCCAGTCTTATTTCTTCCCTGGACCATTCTCGCGTGTCTCCTCACGACAGAGTGAGGAATCACTGATTGCTTTGTGCAGCTTTCATCGCCTTGTCTATAAATCACTGTTACTGCTATGTGACACCGGTCTGCTCGACTGGTTGAGGCGCAGATCATTTGTTCCCTGCCGTCAACAAGCCAAAAATACCCTTGCTAGGTGCTTGCCACAAATACTTCTGCCTCTGTCCGCTCGCAGTCGGCTCTACCGTGCATCCGCATCCACGAAACCATATACGTGTTTCCGCGACTAGGTCCCCAGCTGTCCTTCTCATTGGGCTAAGCGATATATCCCCTAACTCGAACTCATGGTCAGATGGCCGCGGGCTTCGCCTTTAGCAGGGAGCAGGCGTAAATGCCAAAGACGCCTGCTATGACTCGATCAGGATGGTTTGATTATCACTGCTTCAAGCCCGTCGCTGGTATTCTCAATCGAGACAAGGGCGAGCTGGGTCAAGGTTGATATTGGGACCGCGACAGCCCTACTCCCTCCATCGGAGAGCCCAGTTACCTTTGGCAAAACTGGGTTCTACCACCGAACCGTTCATCAAGGCTTCACACTTTCGTCGCAGTTGAGGAGACGATTGATCCCCCGTCGTGCTCCCATCCCTACCTGACACGGCCTTCTTTCCTTTAGCCTGCTGTGTTGAAACATCCAGCTGTGAGGAGAAATCCACATCAAACCCGAACACGACCCCCCGCCTTGCAGCTCGACGGACCATCTCGCGTTGCTCGGCACGTTGCTGTCCCTCCAGTCTTTTTTCGTACTCCTCAGGTGTTTCAGAGTGACGTTCGGCCCAGCCTTTCTCTCCCCCGATACTCCCGTTGACGTCGGACTCTAGCTGGGGCGGGCGAATCTGCGGACGAGTTCGTTGACGACCATCTTCTACTGGAGATACATCCTGATCGGAGGAAGCTTCGTGATCCTCAACCATGTCCACACTTTTCCATTCACCATCGTCCTGCAGCGCACGGCTCGCACGGTTCTTTTTGCGCCCAAAGGTTTTGGTGGGATCGTGTCTCGTACCGAAAACGGCCTCTTCGATCTCATCACAGGTCACGATGACCCGTCGGTCTCCTTTGGTCACCTTGGCTCGAGCGGCGGTCTTCTCGATCCCGGATCCCTCCTCCGCGTTCAACAGAGCCACGATCACCCTCTCCACCTTCTTGTCCGCGGGACCTGGCTTCCGACTTCGACATCGGTCGGAGCAGTATTTGATCGTGTTTGGGCCTTTCTGTAGCTGCTTGCGGGTGCCTTGGCGCTGTCAGAGGTTAAAGTTCTCGTGATAAATTTGGGGACCGCGGAGTTGCGCTGACTTATGACTCTACCGCACGTGCGGCAGTAAGGGACGTTTTCTCCCTGGGTGAGATAGAATGGTGGTGGTACTGCCGCATGCTTGCCCGGCCTTGACCAGGAGTCCATCCAGCTCATTGTGCTCACAGAACGCGTCAAATGTCGGTGGATGAGACGGTAGAAAAGCATATAAACCAATTCAATAGACAGAGGAAACAACAGCAACCTGAAAAGAGAGCTCAAAAATGAAGTTGGCTGTGGCAAGAGAAGGACTCTGAAGTATCGATGGTATTGACGACGTCACTGTCCAATGATGAAGGAGGTGGGGCAGGAGCTAATCCTAAAAAGTCAATGGTATCTGAATATAACACTATACCAAATTAGTCATAGCGCATACCTCGCTGGCTTACAGAGCAGACATGACATGAAATGAATTCTCAGTCTTGAAATCTAAGTAATACTCTATACTCTTCAATGGTCAATAATTCTCCCGCGCTGTTCACTATGCCACAGCCGGTGTAAGATCACCTCCCTGGATAACAAGGACGATAACACGCAGACGAGATGGCGAGTCACCAAGAATCCCTCAACTTGACCATTGTCCCTTACGGGGTAAACGTCCGTCAAGCTCATAAGAAGTCCCGTGCGGGCTGCTATACATGCAAGACCCGTCATGTCAAGTGCGGCGAGGAGAGGCCTCGATGCGGCAACTGCGTCTCCAAGGGAAAAGACTGTCAATACCCAGCGTCCATTAAAAGACGGATCAAGACGCAAGATAAAGCCAGGGGTATCAGGCGTGTATCGCTAGAGCCGACGACCGAAATATCCATGGTTTCCGCATCATTCACCCTGCACGACTTGCGGTTATTCCACCACTTTCTCTGCTTCGCATACCTGCCTCTGCCTCTAACCAAGAAGTCGGTTTGGACGCAAGACATACCTCAACTCAGTCTTCACTCAGAGCATCTGATGAATGCTTTATTGGCTCTGGCTGCCTCGCATATGGAAACGTTGACCGGCGTCGATCATGATAAGTACACTGCACTGTTGCACAAGGGCCGTGCAATCTCTGGACTCAAGGATGAATTCGCCAAATCCCATCACTCGGCAACCGAGTATGATGTGATGCTGGCAACTTGCTACTCCTTGGCCTTTCAGTCTGCGCTTCTGCCTGGATCGGCGGTCGACTTTACAACCTTCGTACGAGGCTGTGCTCTCATTACACGTCGTATTCAAGCTGAAGGACAACAGTCCGTCTTCGACTTTTCGCGCAATCTGAATCGAGCACCAATCCGACGCACAGTCTTGCTCAGAATCGGTTCCGCAAGTCGGATTTCTGGCTCTCGTTTTCGGCTGCTGATAAAGAAGGGGATGGCATCACTTCTTGCCGCTCATGAGTCTGTTGAACACGCAGGGACTGGCCATAATCTCTTTCAAGCCCTGAGCTCGACCTTTGCCGGGTTTCAAGTGTCGTTGGCGAAAGGATATAACCGTTTTCTCAGCTACTACGCTGTTTGGTTCAAACTTGCTGAAGCTAAAGATATCTTGGCCCCGGATGCAGTAAGAGAGGCGGCGTTCTTGCTCTGGGCTTTCTTTATTGGTATCCAGCTACTGATCGCTATGCTCGTGGCTGATATGACCAGCGGGGGGATGAATAGGGACCGTGCAGCAGGATTCAACCGTTCACTTGGTGTTTCAAAGATGATTAGAATGACTGAGTGGCTTTGCGCAATCGAAACAACTACACCGACTCACATGAGGGAACACCTTACCTGGCCAAGGCTGGTCTCGAGCCAGGTACTCTTGGGACTGCAAATAACGACGGTGTCGAAGGCCTCAGTCGATCTCAAGGTAAACGCTCTTCGCGATCTGGATTCACGCTCTCACATTGCGTTGGGAGAACTTCTGGAGCTGTCTGCAAGTCTGGCCAACTGGATTGAAGACCTTCTGGCATCACAAAGTGGCGATGAAGGCAGCAGCGGTGAAATGGAAGGGTGGCGGAGAACACAGACTCAGATGGTCTTTGGGATTCTAGATCAGGGAGGGCAGGACACGCCGATCGACAGACGTGGCCCTGGGATGGTAACTACGGCCTCCATCACTCCTTTCCCCCGCCAATATCCCGGGAGACGCTGACCAGTGCAAATCAATAGGGTGAGACACGGCTGCTGCTAGTCTAACGAACGGAGTGGCAAACCATCTTCAGGAGCTGGTAGGAGCTGGGCAGGAGGTGGCGCTTTCCTGGTCTGACCTATGCATCTACCAGCATTAGAGTCTGGGCTCGATCGCCTGATGCTGTGCAGAACACTCTCTTCGACATGCGCTCAAACCCGGTCTAGATCCTGTGGCGAGTGAGAAGCGACACCTGACGCAGGGCCTAGGCCAAGCTAGGGAGAAATGAGGTTCAGACATCCAGGTTGCTCGCTTCGTTGAGGGTCATCGGCGGCTCCCCGGCCACCATCCACCAGATAGAATACCAGGACGAGATTGCCCAGCCCGATGCAAGTCTCGATTCAGGAAAAACAGAAAGCAAGCAATGCAGATCATAAGAGCCACCAAGAAGGTCAGAAAGTCTGGGCGGCTGGATCCAATTGATGGCAGTTGTGTCGTCTGTATAATTGCTCAAACCGGTTGGCACGACATGAACTCTGAGGCGAATCCCGCTCCGGAATTCGATCAGGGGCGGTGTTGTCCAACCTAAATTTCTCTGCAAGTCACGAAGAGACCAAAGCATGGCTCAATGCGTCAAGATCAGAATCAGGTTGATGGGCTTGGATTACCATTAAAGGCCAAGCGGCGTGGCAGAACCACATTCCAAATCGCCCGAAGAGCCACGCTCTCTGTGGAGTCAACTATTCCATGGGCTGGGTATAGGGCAGGTATTCAGTCGACCACTCAGACAACCGGGGACGGGTTGAACGTTGGCGTGATGGGCTTGTTATATTGCCACACTAAGATGAGCAGGCAATTGACATGGCGGCATCAAATCAGTAAACTAAACACCGCCAACAGACCCTCGGACCTGGATTCGCAACGCCGAAGTCAATGCGGTAACTGGAATTCTTGCTTTCTTTCTTCCGGTAGCGTGGCTAAAAAGCGCAACGAGGGGTGCCGGCCATTGAGGGTTTCGAAACGAGTCTATGCGATGGCGCTCCCTTCGCCGGCGTTCAGGGTCAGAATCAACCTCTCGAGACAGGCGTGACCAGCCAGTAGAAGAGGAGGTTACAGACCTCACCACCACGCAAGGCTGAAGTACAAGACTCCAATCTTAACAAGCCATGCAGCTTGGATTCCGAGGATCAGCCAGTGCCAAGTTGTGATTTCGAGGACTTGCAATCTTCAGTGCTCAGCAGACTTGGAGTTGGGGTCCTGTAACCACGGTACAGAGACGAGGGTTTCTATAAGCAGCAGGTAGGCCAAGGAGTGTTCCGTTCTCCGTCTCTGTACTCGGTAATGAGACCAGCAAGGAGTGGCCCGAAGTTCAACCTTGCATCAGCAGGTCAAAGAAGAGGAAGACTTGACAGCTCTGGCGTCGACCGTGGGCATGACCGTGGACGAATGTGGAAAACACGAAAAAGCCCCAAGAGCTTCCATGCTATAATCAACAACGCCACAAGCAAGAACTTGGCGACAGCACCGTTCGTGTTCGCCCCATGAATTCCACGGGAACAGTTGGCAGTTTTGCTCTACCGCTTAATATTCGGCAGGACAACGCGACGGCACTCGTTCGCTTCTTGGTGGTCCGTCATAATCTCACGCCAATGACAAAGCGAAGAGTGTCGACTGAAGATGATGAAGGTTCGAGGGAGAAACTTCTTTCGACCATGGCGCCGCTAGAGCCTGGAGGAACAAAGGGTCAGCCTTCTAGACTGGCATTCGTCTCACCTTCAATGCAACCCTGACGAATGGCCGTGGACAGCCAAGATCGCCAACTCCGCCAGGTCAGGAAGCGAGAGAGGCCCATGACCTGCCCGCTTGATCCTCGGGCGCGAAACTCCTGGTGTTATTCGCCCGGACAAGCCAACTACAATCTGGCGAATGCGAGGCCCTGAAGGTTCGTCTTCGGCCCGCTGAACCCATCTCGCTTTGCAACACTGGTAAACCAGACAGAAGCTCCTAGCTCCAGCTATCAGGCTATCGGTATGCAAAGAATCGGATTGGAGGCTCTAACCGACGATTTAATCAGCGACCAGTTGGTCCAAGTGACCTGCATTAAAGTTCCGAACACCCTTCGAATTCTGGGACCCCCGTCTGGATACTCCGCAAGTAAATTCGAGGAAACCTAACGCGCCCCCCCCCCCCCCGGATTCAAGGCGGCTAGGAGTCTTGGGTACGAGCGTCTCCCCTTTTAGCATCGTGGTGGCAATCAATCGGGCCTCTTAGATTTCCCCTCCTTCATCGGCTTCATGTCGGGAGGCTTTTCTTCCTACCCCAGGTGCCCAGGTTCGATACGACCTGATGGTCTGACCATCCCGCATACACCATCAACCACACCAGGCTAGGAACGGTGGACTGTGAAGCTCCGCTGCAATATGGTAACATGTCTTGGTGGATATAGAGATTAAATAACCCTTCATCTCCCTGTCCACTTCGTCTCACCATCACAACTCTCACTCTGGAGACACAATCACTTTCTTTGACAATCTTCCTTTCAGGGTTTTCCAGACTTACAGGATGGCTTCTCCAGAGAAGATCTCTGATCCTACGGCGCAGACCGTGGAGCGCATTGGCTCAATCGACAAGAGCAAAGATGTGAGTCTCCCTACTCACCGAACATACCATGTCCTCCTATTGCCCATCATAGAACGAAAGACTAAACATCTATCTTGTGTCGCAGGTCGTCGCGGTCAAGGAAGTCAGAGGCAGCGAGGCCTTCAATGAGGCTTTGATCCGGGAAGATGTGCCAATGTTGCACCCGCGCACTCTGCAGCTGTTCGCCTGCCTACTCATTGGCTTCTTCTGCCAGACGATGAACGGCTACGACACGATGTTGTTCGGTGGACTGCTCAACAACAAGGAATACTTCCTCAAGCACTTCCATGGGGAGAACAAGGGTATCTGGGCAGGTCTCATCACCTCCATGTACCAGATCGGTGGTGTCTCTGCCTTGCCTTTTGTCGGGCCCTGCATTGATCAGTGGGGACGCCGCGTGGGCATGTTTATTGGTAGCATTCTCATCATCGTCGGCACCGTTGTGCAGGGCTTGACCTCTGCCAATGCCTCCGAGGGCCAGATGATGGGCGGTCGATTCGTCCTGGGTTTTGGCGTCACCATCGCCGCAGCAGCCGGCCCCATTTGGATCGTGGAAACAGCCCATCCCAAGTATCGTGGTATCATTACTGGTCTCTGCAACACCACCTGGCTGGCCGGCTCGATCTTGTCCTCTGGCGCGACGCGAGGTGGTCTCAACATCAAAGGCAACAACTCTTGGCTCATCCCCATCTGGCTGCAGATGGTCTTCCCAGGTTTCATTGCCATTTTCGCCTTCTTCCTGCCCGAGTCTCCCAGGTGGGTATATGCCAGTGGAAAGCGCCAGAAGGCCCACGACATCCTCACCAAGTGGCACGGCTATGGCAATCCCGATTCCGCCTGGGTCAGACTCCAGCTCAATGAGTATGAAGAGTATCTCGAGTTGGACGGCTCCGTAAGTCTTTTCTTCCCTTCATCTCGGCTCTCAGGTCTTGCAGCAAAGCTGACGGATTGACGTTTCAAGGACAAACGCTGGTGGGACTACCGTGCGCTCTTCAACAAGAAGTCGAGCCTCTACCGCACCGCGGTCGCTTGCTGGTTCTCTGCATTCACACAATGTAAGGACACTCGCCTCCGTCTACCTTTGCTGGTCCACTGACGCGTGTCTTCAAACTAGGGTGCGGTAACGGTCCTCTTTCGTACTTTATGTCCGCCGTCCTCGACACGGCCGGCGTCAACACCTCGATCGGTAAAGCCAACGTCCAGCTCGGCTACAGCGTCGAGCAGTTCTGCTTCGCCGTCTTCGGCGCGCATTTCGTCGAGCGATTCGGCCGCCGCAAGATGATGCTGGCCGGGTTCTTTGGCGTGTCTGTGATCTGGGTTTGCATGACCGCCTCGGCTGGGACGCTGGCCAACTCGCTCGTCTCGGGCTCCGTGGACGACAGCGACGCCGTCTTTAGCAACAAGACGGCCGGCAACGCCGTGCTGGCCTTCATCTTCATCTTTGGCGCGTGGTACTCGTTCAACATCACACCCTTGCAGGCCCTGTACCCGGTCGAGGTCTTCAGCTTTGAGATCCGCGCCAAGGGTATGGCCTTCCAGTCCTTCTTCGTCAACGCCGCTGGTCTGATCAACCAATTCGCCTGGCCCGTGGCGATCAAGGAGATCCAGTGGAAGACGTACATCATTTTTGTGGTTTGGACCTTTGTCCAGGGAGTGCTGGCCTATTTCTTCTTCCCTGAGACGAAGAAGCGCACTGTGAGTCGAGACACATGCTCCATTCGCTCTTATGCTCCCCCCCCCTTTTTTTTTCTTCCCCGTGCGCTGTGCTTGATACTTTGGAAAAATATTGAATGCTAATCACATTTGTGACCTGTCTACAGCTCGAGGAACTGGACAAGATCTTCGAAGCCAAGAATCCCGTCAAGTACTCCACCCAGTCTCGCACCTTGGCCATCACGGAGGACAACACCGTCGTCGCCGTCGACATTGATAAGGTGTAAGAGAGGGAGAGAGAGGGCATCACAATGAGAGGTTGGGAGTTTTGCGTCGACGACGTGGACACTGGACCTTGGGAATTGGGTCGTTTGCTCGAGGTTGAGACCTACTCCTTGCTTACCTGTGGTGGTTCACTTGGTTGATGTAGCAGCAGTGGGAGACGAAGTAGCTGAGACTGGAAACTGAGAGGGATATGTCGTATGCAGAACTATACATAAAGCGGATAAATCAAGAGAGACTCGATTATTGGTGAAGTAAATTGACTACGAACGAAACTATGATTCTAGACAGAAGGAAATTCGTCACTCTACGGTGTTGTTCTGTAGCTCTGTAGCTCTTGGCCAGAGCATACCAGACAGCCAGATCACTCCACGCTGCGGCAACGGGCACCCAGACGGGTACTTGCACCTGTACAGTAGAGAGAGTGAAGGCATGGGTGGGGACGGCCTTGGCGCACAGTCAGGGACTTTTGCGCCGAGGCTTTCAGTTGTCAGTTTTTTCACTCGCCGTAAACATGTGCATGGCTTTACGGACAACTCGTTCACCCAGTTACCTACAAAATACCATACTATATCCCGACCTGTAAGTTACCAGAGGATACGAACTATCTTCTCATCCAGGTAGATCCCTTGGTCCAGGGCCATTCAGCATGAAGCGCGGAAGAGAGGGGGAACGGGTGTCACCAGAGCGAGCGTGTAGCCATCATCCGCGTCGAAGGGGGAGACCTGGGGAGAGGAATGCTTAGCTGAGTGCTTGGTTGGAGTGCTTAGTTGTGGTAAAGTCCCCTTGGTGCCCCTGGAAGAATTGGCAGGGGGGACGTAAAGGTCACTCCTAAGCCTTCCAGGTGGCCTGCCGTGTCTGTCTGTTGTCCAGGCTCTCAGTCCAAGACCCTTTCAGGCAAGCGAGGCGCGCTCCTGCTGGCTGAATGCCCTACCACCCTACCTGCCTGCCTGCCCACTCCCTACTCGGTACAAGTCAGCCCGTCTATGCACGTCACATTTTGTGTTTGTTCATTATCTGTGCAAACACCTTCTCTCGTGATAAACATTGATCTCGACTTCCCCCCGGCTGACCTGGTCCCTGCTTCTCGCTTCTTCTTACCATGTACATACATACTCCGTACGGGGTCGAGTTGGCTCCCCAGATCCACGATTCCCACCCCCCGTGGCTCCCGTCCCCGCCTTGTCCTTTATCTCTTTCCACTCCCGGCTTTCAACCCACCTTCCTTGACACACATTACACGCTGAACCGCATGAACGGATTCCCAGCTCGAAGCCTGACAAAGAATGGACCTGAACGACACTGACTTCCGTCCCACTAAACGCATCAAACGAGCCTGCCTGAACTGCCGGTAAGTCCAGCAGCCCAGTGACCCGGCCGACAGAAGGCCGTGGCGTGCCACATTTGTCTCCCCAAGTCGCCACCAAGAAAAAAGCAAGCTCTTTGACTGAAAATTACCCAAATCAAGACGCAAAAAGGTCCGCTGCCATGGGGAACAACCAGCCTGCAGTTTCTGCACTCGTCTGGGTCAACCGTGTCAGTACCCGCAAACCTTTCGATGCAGGCCTCTCTGGGATGATGACCAGAGGGCGGCCGAGACTCCTTCCAAGATAGCTAGCCCTGGATATGTGAGTGGATAGCAAGTAAACAACAGAGTGGTGCTCTCGCTGACAGTCCCTTCAGGAAAACCTCCTCTCCCGGATCACTTCAATTGAGTCTCGCCTGGCCAAAGCTGCTCCTGGCGGAAATGAGTGAGGAACACACACCCGGCCCACCACTGCCTTGACCATGGTTGAGCCTAGTCGTCACAGGGGGCTAATCATAAGGTCATATACACAGGAGATACGGGGCTAGTCCTGTCGACTCAGAGACAACCGAGTGAGCAAAACATCTCCCTCCCATGGACAAACTGCCTTGCTTATCCAACTCATCGCTTTCCCCCCAAGCAGTGTCTTTGACACCTTGCCATCACCAGAGGTCGTTTGGGCCGCCATTGACAGCTACTTCAACTATTCACACAATCAGCCATACTCGTTCTTCCACGAACCATCCTTTCGGCAAAGTGTTTCTGATGGCTCGTTGCCCACCTTCCTCCTGCTCGCCGTCCTGGCAATGTCCGTCCGCTTCGTTCATCATCCCTTCTTTGCTGGTCAACAAGTCCGCGCCTCACAGTCCTACGCCCGCGCTTGCTGGAGATTGATCGCCTCGCAATGTTTAGACGACGACCTCGCCGACTACCGACACGTTCAGGCTCTCACTCTCCTTTCCATCTGCGACTTTACCGGTAAGTCGAACTACACCCCTGCTTCCCCTTCCTTTGCCTTGGTCGTCGTCGCCCGTTCACGGGTTAGCCACTGAATGCGACCGAACTAACTGGCGTAGCTTGCCGCGGATCAGCCTGGATCAAAATCGGCCTGGCCGCTAGGGTCGCTCAGGTCCTCGGCATGATGTTCGAGCCACACCCTTCCCTGCCGTTCGCCGCACAGGAGGAGCTGCGGCGAACGTACTGGTCGGTCTACCTACTCGACAGACTCGCCACTTGTTCGCGTGGAAGACCGGCCAGCCTACAGGATTACTCCTGTCAGCTCCAGCTTCCGTGCCATGAGGAGGACTTCATCTCGTCCAACCCTCAGACAACGCTGACATTGGCCCAAGTCAGCAGCCAAGGCGCCACCAGCGAAGTCTCAGCATCCAGCCTCTCGCCCTTGGGACGTGTGATCGTGCTCGCCGCCGAGCTGCATCGGACATCCGTCTACATCGTGCAAGGGTACGACCAGGACGATCAGAAGCCGCCGTGGGCACCTCAGTCTGACTTTTCGGCCATCCGAGCCCGACTGTCGTCGCTGGAAGTCCAACTTGAATATGATCGACCGATCCAAGAAGTTCTGGCGGACTACTCTGCCATGCACCCCAGTGCGAATGCAAGAGAGCTCCATTCCGTGGCCCCATTGATCTTCTCCTACGCGCTCTATCACTTGTGTCAGTGCCTGCTGCACCACCCATTTCTGCTCCGGCGACGGTTTGAGCTGAGCAACGCCAAATTCCGGACCAACTTCTTCGCCGCCAGCGTCGGCGCCTCCTTCAAGCACGCCAAAATCTTGACTGAGACCCTCCAGAAAGCTCGGGAGGCTGGGTACAGCACCATAGCCTCCTTCCTCGGGTACTGCGCCCTGGTGGCGGGATCCATTAATTTCCTACACTCGCATTCGGACTCGGAACCTGACCGCTTGGCCGCGTTCCTGATGAGTCGACAAAACGTGGCTTTTCTCAAGAGCCACGCGCTGATGTGGCACAATTCCACCTCGATGGCGAATGAACTCGACGCCTTTGGCTCCAAGGCGAGCTCGTACCGGGATCTCATCGACCCGTCGTGCTACCACGTCCCACTGACGCAACAGGATCTGGAGCTCCTCTACCGACTCGTCGACTACGGGACCATGTCCAACGGGACGCATTCGGGGGCCCCGTGGTCTCCCAGCCTGTCCCACAGTCTCGTCCAATCCGAGCTCGGTGGGTCGCCAATGGCTTTCCGAAATTCCATGTCCCACCTCGACAGCACGGCCCAGGATCTGTATCTGGTCGGCGCGATATCTGACCACGAGGCCAGTCTCTGTTCACTGGGGTTTGGCAGTCTCTGGGACCTCTAGCGGTTCTGCGAAGTTAGCCGGACAAGTGTTGGCCCGTGGTCAGAGGTGTGTGTGTTGTGCAGCCTTTTCGAGATAGTTGATAGCTCGCCTCGCTCAAGGCTGCTGCTGCTGTCACGACCTGTCGAAAAAACTCTAATCATTTCACTACACCGTGGAGCTGGACCCAGTCTATCCCGGCCCCATTGGCAATTTGCACATAGCGTGTCCCAAGGGCTGAGTTGTGGCAATTCAATGTTATGTATCTCCTGTGCATTCGGAGGAGCCCAAAAGTGAGAGCTGATGAGGGAGCCCAAGGTCCAATCTAAACGACTTTTCATCTTTTCACACAAGTGTAATGATATTCCGAGGAAGAAGGCCCATTCACATCTCCCCTTAGCCATACCTGCAGTCTCTTATGTTAGGGGCGCAAATCTGAACATCTTTCTTGATCGATCGAAGAAAGCGCGGCCTGACTCCAGCGTTGTAGGATTCACACGGGTGATCCATCTCCATCCTCCCAACGTGTCAATATGCCTCTGCCTCTTGGGGAGGTTGACAGGCCATTTCTTGAGTCCCTGCCTCAACGTCGCATGCATGGGAACTGACGCCCAGTCACTTACTCGCCCTTCTCTACATCCGTGGCTGCAGACTTTGGCGCCCTGGCGCGGACGAGGTGGCTCAAGTCCCCGACGGGCAGGTGAAGGGGGAACTGCACCGCCTCCAAGAGTTGGGCAAAGAGGAGGTAGAAGCCCACGATGCACATGGCAAACACGCACGCGCCTGAAGCCTGGAAAAATTTCGCGCCCACCTTTTTGTCAGCCTCTGTGTTTTGTTTTTTGCGAATCAAGCGAATCCCCAAACGTGTGGTCTTTTTGTCTTTGGTGTGGAAAAAGTCTGACGACGGACGTACCTTTGCGAGATTTTCAAAGCCCTGGCCATCGCCGGCCGCGGCTCTCCAGTAAGCCCCCGTGAGGAGGAAGAGGGCGAGATCCAGCAGGAAGAAAATGAGGAAAAAGGCCACGTTGGTCCGGAGGGAGCAGATCAGGTACAGAAAGACCAGGATGCCGATGGCGAGGAGGAAGAAGGCTGGACCCCGTTAGTTTTCCCTGGGCCGACCGGGCATATATGTATGCGATAGCAACAGACTCACCCAAGCTCGATTCAAAGGACGCCGCTCCCGCCGCCTTTTCCGCCGCAGTCGTGGCACCGGCGGTGAATGCGCCCTCGGCGTTGAAGTACGGTGTCAATGTGGCGCCGAAAGCGAGCCAGAAAGCACCTACAGTAGGACGATGGTTGTTGTCAGAAGAGACCGCGAATAATCTCCAGGGATATGATATTACTGGGACTTATTACCAAAGGAGCCAAAGACCACAAAGGGA